GTGTCCTTACCTGTGCCAGGGTGGGCGCAGATGCTCAGTGCCAGCAGCAGCCACGGGAACATCCTGCAGGACACGGGGACACCCTGTGGAACAGGGGGACACCCTGCAGGACACGGGGACACCCTGCAGGACACGGCCCCGGGGCCTTGGGGACTTTGACCCCACAGGGACACGTGGGGGAGGGACAGGGACACAGGGAAAGGGACAGGGACACACGAAGGGAGGGGACGGGGACACACAGGGAGGAGGGGGCACAATGCCACCAGGACACACATCAGGGACAATGTCGCCACACCTGTGGGGACACTGCCACCATGACATGTCAGTGCATGAAGCCACCAGGATATGTCAGGGGACACTGCCACAAGGCCATGTGACCTCCCCAGGTGACACTGACCCTTGTCCTGTCCCCAGCCTGTCCCCAGGGGCAGCTGGGGTCCCCTGAGTGCACTGGCTCTGGGACACCCTGGTGGCTGTCACCTGCTTCTGGGCCCCTTGTCACCAGCTGAACAAGTTCCCTGTCCCGCCCCAGTGGGTGGTGACATTCAGCTGGGACACCGTAGTGGTGACGGTGGGAACACAGTGGAAGGAACTGCATCAGGCAGTGCTTTGCCACGGCCGGGATGAAGGTGCTGGTGGCACTGTGGTGGCACTGACACTGTCTCGGTTTGTGACCCCACCCATGTCCATGTCCCTCCGTGTCCCCATCCATGTCCATGTCCCCCATGTCCCCATGCATGGCCATGTCGCCATCCATGGCCATGTCCCCTCATGTCATTGTTCCCCACTCATGCCTTTTTTAAACATCTTTATTTTTACCCCAGTTCCAGGGGTTTCAAAGGGCTGAACAAAAATGAAAGAAAATCAAGGCTAAACCAAAAGGATTTATGTGTCTGTGCCAGTTGAGCATCCACGTGCTTACATGGGTGGAAGAACCTTTTTAGATGGCATTTCCATCCCACTGTCTTCAAAATTGTGAGTTTTGCCCCAATACATCCCCATTTCTCTGTGGAAGATGCCTGTGGCCAGAGAGAATTAAAACGATGGATTTATGTTCAAGAAGACCTCCAAGGCCATCCAGTGTTGCTTGATGTCACCAGAAGATGCAAAAGGTGAGATTTTTCTGGGGATGGAAGTTGACCAATCTGCTCTCCACAATGCATTTCTGATGTGGGTCTGTGGATGTGCCCAGGTGCCCACAGGGAGACAGGAGGATGGGGAGCCCCCCAGCCAAGGGTCTTCCCAATACGGATCACCAGGACCATGGATCACCAGCTCATCCTGAAGTTCTTCCCACCCTCTCCACACTTGTAGGATCTTTCCCCAGTGTGGATTCTCCAGTGGCAGATCAGAGTTGAGCTCTGGTTGAGGCTCTTCCCACATTCCGATTGCTTGGGGGGTTCTCCCTGCCATGAAGCTGCTCATGGACACCCAGCTCTGAGCTCTGGCCTATCTCCAGCTGCATTTCTGGCACTGGGTGGGTCTTTCCTCCTCACAGATCCCAGGGCTGGGTTTACAGCCCCTCCTCAGGCTTTTCCTCCCTTTTGGATTCCTGCAACACGGAGCTGCTCAAAATGGCCTCTGCCACAATGTTCAGCTGCGGGGATTTGTCCGACCTGGTCCCCAACCTCAGCTCCATCCTCTGTCTGGGGGAGGAAGGACAAGGAGAGGATGGGATGTGCCTCCATGCCAGAGGGAAGGGGAAAGGGGAAGGATATCTCCCCATCCATCCTAGGCAGCACCGGGGTTGTCCTGCAGCTGGAGCGATGCTGGGCTGGGAGATGGAGCAGGAGAGAGGGGGAAAAGGGCACTGACTTTCTCCTCACCTGCCTGGGTGTCCTGGGACCTCTTCCTCTTCCTTGTGGTTGTCTCCCCTTCTNAAAAGTGCACTGTAACACCCTGCTGTGTTGACACTTTACACTTAATTCCATGAGATATCTTTGTGTCACAACGGTCTCCTGAATTCAAAGGGGCCCCACTATGTCACGATAGAGCCTTGGTTCCATGAGACATCTCTGTGTCACAATGGTCTCCTGCTGCATTCTGCCACAGCGAGGAGGGCAACAACTCCCCTGGGCCCTGGAGCCTTGGACTTCAGGTAGCCGCTAATGACCAAACAGGAAAAGACGACAATAGAATGGGTGTTGGTTCGGCAACATCCAGGATCCTTTAGTGAGTCACGGAGGGTAGAGTCATGAGTTTTATATGCCAGGGTAGGGATGGAGTTTAGGGTTCGGGTTCAGTAGCGAGAGGAGCAGGAGACTGCAAAGGGGTAGACTAAGGAGGACAACTAAGGGAAGAACTAAGGTGGGAACACTGCAGTAGGATTTAAACCAATGAGGGTGCAGGAAAAGAAGAACATTCTGGGGCCATTCCTTATCTGACAAAATGGTGTGGGGTGTCTTTTCCCGGGCTTGCGGGCACACGCCCCACAGGGTGGAGGGGTGGAATCTTCTTTAAGTCATGCACCTCACCCAGTGCTGTCTGTCTGGATAGAATCCCTGCCTCTGGGGGCAGGAGCACTCCACAGTCTCCTGGTTCCATGACACTGGGCTGTGTCACCATGGACACTGGATTCGACAAGAGTAGAATGGCAATGTCCCAGTGGCACCTGTGTCCTACAAGTCCCCACTTTGTCAAAGTAAAGCCTTGGATTCATGAGATTCCATGTTCTCACAAGGGTCTGGTGAGTTCCATGAGCTGCGCTGTGTCACAATAGAAACTGTGTTCCACAAACCTTGGTAATGTCCCAGTGCCTGTGTTCCATGAGGCCCCATCTCTTCAAAAGGGAGCTTTGATTCCATGAGATTACATTGCATCTTATGGTCTCTGAGGTTCTATAAGGCCCTGCGTTTGTCACACTAGACACTTGAGTCCATTGCATCCCAATGGTGTCCTGGGTTGGATGAGGTTCTGCTGTGTCACAACGATCCCTTGTTTCCAGAAGCTGTTTCAAGGTCCCAATGGCACCTGGGTTCCAAGAGGCCCTGCTGTACCTCAACTGGCACTTGTTTCCATGAGATATCACTGCATGACAATGATCTCTAGGTTTCCGTGCGCTGCACTGTTTAACTGTGGACACTGGGTTCCAAATGAGCTGGCAATGTCCCGGTGGCACCTGGGTTCAATGAGACCTCCTGTGTCACAGCTGACCATTGTTTCCATGAGATTCCGTTGTCACACAGTGGCCTCCCAGGTCCCATCAGTCCTTGCTGTGCCACAATGGAACTTTGTTTCCACTAGACCTGGCAATGTTGCATTGACCCTTGTGTTCCATGAGGTCCCTGTTTGTCACAGTGGAGCCATTTCCATGACATTGCATGGAGTTACAATGGTTTTTTAGATTTTGTGAGTTCCTTCTGTGTCACAATGGAGCCTTGATTCCTTGAGATTTCATTGTGTCAGAATGGTCTCCTGGGTTCTATTAGGCCCTGCTGCATCACAATGGACACAGGGTAGCAAGAGCCCTGGCAACGTCCCATTGGCATGTGGGTCCCACAAGTCCCTACTGTGTTCAAAAATGAAACTTGGTTCCATGAGATTCCATTACGTCACAGTGGTGCCCTGGATTTCATGAGGCCCCCCCGTGTTACAACTGAAACTTGGTTCCATGACTTCCAGTTGTGACTAAAGGGTCTAGTGGGTCCGAGGAGGACTCAGTGTGTTGAAACTTTGTTCCATGGGATTTTGTTCTGTCACAATGGTCACCTGGGTGCCATGGAGCATTGCTGTGCCACAGTGGAGCCTTGGTTTCACAAGCCATGGCAATGTGTCAGTGGGCCCTGGGTTCATGAAGGTCCTGCTGTGTCACAATGGAGCCTTGGTTCCATGAGATTCCGTTGTGTCACAATGTTCTTCTGAGTTCCATGAGGTCCTACGGTTTCAAAATTAAAACTTTGTTCTATGAGATTCTATTGCACCACAATGTCTCCTGGGGTCCATGAGGCTGTGCTCTTTTCACAACTGACACAGTTCCCTGAGATACCATTGTGTCAAAATGGTCTCCTTGGTTCCATGGGGCTCCATTGTGTCACAACTGTCTCCAGTGTTCCATGTGGCAGTTCCAGAAAAAGTGGACAGTTGCTTCCACGTGTTTCCATTGGATCACAATGGTCTCCAAAATTCTATGAGCCTTTGCCATCAAAGAGTGAGCACTGAGTTCCTTGAGATTCCACATTGTTACAATGGTGTCCTGGGTTCCATGCGGCCCCTCTTTGATGCAATTGAGACTTGGTTCCATGAGATTCCACAGTGTTACAATAGTGTCCTGGGATTCATGAGACCCCACTTTGTCATAATCGCTCTTTGTTTGCATGAACTTTGGCAATGTACCAGTGGCCTCTGGGTTCCATGAGGCTCTGCAGTGTAACTTCACACTTGGTTCCATGAGATAGTATTGGGTCACAATGATCTCCTGGATTTTGTGGGTTGTGATGGGTTCTCAAATGACACTTCGTTCCATGGGACTCCATTGCATCACAGTGGTCTTCAGGTTCCATGAGCTGTCCCATATCATAATGGACACTGGGTTCCAGAAGCTCTGGCAATGTCCTAGTGGCACCTGTGTCCTATAAGGCCTCACCTCGTCAAAGTATCCTTAAGATTCCATGTTGTCCCAATGCTCTGCTAAGTTCCACGGAGCTGCGCTCTGTCACAATGGACACTGAGTTCCATATACCCCGGCAATATCCAAGTGGCACCTGGCTTCCATCAGGCCCCACTGTGTTTACATTTGACATTTGGTTCACCAAGATTCCATTGCATCACAGCAGCCTCTGAGGTTTCATGAGGCTGAAATTTTTCACAATGGACACTTGCTTCCATGAACCATGCATCTGTCCCAGTGGCTTCTGAGTTCCACAAGGCTGTGTTTTGTCACACAGGAGCCTTGGTTCCATGAGATTCCATTGCCCTACAATGGTCTCACAGGATCCCTGAGGCTTTGCTGTGTAATAATGCCATCTTGACAGGACAAGGCCTGGCAATGTCCCAGTGGCACCTGGGTTCCACAAAGCCCTGCCATTTCACAATTGTCTATTCATTCCATGGGATTCCATGGCCCCACAATAGGCTCCTAGGATCCATGAGGCCTCCTGGGTCACAACTAACCATTGGTTCCATGATGTTCAATTGCAGCACAGTGGTCTCCTAGGTCCCACGAGGCCTTGCTGTGCCACAATGAAGTGTTCTTTCCACTAGACCTGGAAATGTTGAAGCAGTCTGTGGGTTCAATTCACCCTTGGTTCCATGAGATTCCATTCTGACACAATGGTCTCCTGTGTTCCATTAGGCCTGGCTGTGTCAGAACGGGCACTGAGTTCCACAAGCAGTGGCAACGTCCCAGTGGCACATGGGTTCCCTGAGGCCCCGCTGTGTTAAACTGACATTTTGTCTCATTAGAGTCATTTGCATCGCAATGGTCTCCTGTGTTCCATGAATCAAAGCTTTGTTACTATGGACAGTAGGTTAGAAGAACTCTGGCAATGTCCCACTGGCTCTTGGCTCCATGAGGCTGCAAAGGGCCAAAGTTGACGCTTGGTTTCATGACATTCCATTGCTTCACGGTGGTCTCCTGGGTGCTGAGAGCCCATGCTGTGTCACAATGAAGCCTTGGTATCTTGAGATTCCATTGCATAACAATGGTCTCCTGTGCTCCATTAGGCCCAGCTGTGTCATAAAGGACACTTGGTTCCATGAGCAGTGGCAATTTCCCAGTGGCATTTGGGTTCCATAAGGCCCTGTTATGTTAAACTGACAGTTTGTTCCATGACATTTGTCCTGGTTTGAGAGGAAGTGAGTTTTTTGGGATGCTGTGGTGAAACCAACAGGTGCTCAGATTTGAACATTGGCACCTGGTGTGGCCCCTGAGGACATGGATTCACCTCTGAGCACACGGGGGGTTAAAAGCAGAGAACTCCCAGGGGAAGCTCTCTTGGTTCCGGTGGGTGAAAAGTTCAGAGCTGCCCTGCCCGGCTGCGGGCTGGGTGCAGGAGGGGAAGCCATGCGGCCGGGTGAGGGGAGCCGGGCCTTGGACAGAGAAGGGAGGTGAAGGCCCCTGCACGATGGAAGGGTGGAGGAGCACTGAGAGGCATCGGGCAGCGGCCCCAGAGAGAGAGGGAGTGGGTGCCTGTGCCTGTGCCACCTTGAAATTTGCCATCTTGTGCTGGCAGCACAGCCGAGAAGGAGAAGGGGTGCAGAGAGAAGGTGCCCGGCAGGGCCAGCGTGGGAGTTCTGGGCAGGCAGAGCCCGAGATTTTAACCCTTTTCTTGGATGATGGAAACCTTACAAATGCTGATCCTCCTGGAGTTGAATGAGAAGAGAGATAGGGATGAGATAGAGGAGATGGGCCACGAGAGAAGTTGAGAAGAATCTTAGGCGGGAGGAGGTGATGGAGTGGCCTTTGGCTGGACTTTTCTTGCATAGCCATGGACAGAACCATTTTTTCTGTGACACAGAGACTGCATTTAGGGGGAGGCAATGGCTCGGAGCCAAGAGAGTGCAGTGATGTGATGTGAAAGAGTGGCATGAACAGAGATGACGGGTGAGGAGGGTGGTTGGTGCCCTCAGTCTTCAGGGAAGAAAAAGAAGATCTCTGTTCTTGAGACCCCTCAGCCCCAGGGGGTGAATTTGGGGGGGACAGGTGTCCTAAAGTGAGAGACTATGCTTTTTTTGGAACTGGACAAAGCATCCTTAAAAGGGGAACTCTAGAAGCAGCTTTGGTGCATGTGCAGTGGTGAGAGCACTGGGCATGGAAGGAAGATGTCAAGATGGCAAATGATCTCCGGGCGGTGCCATGTGTGACATGGAAACACAAGAGGTCTCAAATGTGTTTCTAGGGGAAGCCTATGGCACAAGAGGGACCTCTCTCTCCTTGTTGAACTGAGAATTGATTATCTAAAGGATGGTGGTGGACTGAGAGTTGGTGATCTGAGGGATGGATATATTGGAAATTTGGTGGAGGGAGGAGGAAAGTTATTGGAAGGTTTTCATTCTGAGTTCTGTGTGTGTTCCTTTCTATATATAGTTGTAGGTTAATAAAGTTTTTTTCTTCTTCATTCCTAAGTTGGAGCCTGCTTTGCTCTATTCCTGGTCACATCTCACAGCAGACACCAGGGAGCATGTATTTTCATGGGGGCACTGGCATTGCGCCAGCGTCAAACCCTGACAACATTCCATTGTATCACACTGGTCTCGTGTTCCATAAGGCCCCACTGTGGTGACAACTGACAGTTGGTTCAATGACATTCCATTTCCCCACACTGTTCTTCCAGATTCCATGAGGCCCTGCTGTGTCACAATGGTGCCACACTTTCATGAGCCATGGCATCGTCTCAGTGGCACCTGGGTTCCATGATACCTTGCCATGTTCACAATTGACTCTTGGTTCCATGAGCTCCCATTGCATCACAATGTTCTCCTGGCTTCCATGAGGCCTGACTGTGTCACAATTGACCCTTGGTTCCATGAAATTCCATGGGTCACAATAGTTTCCTGAGTTCCTGTCCTGGCTCAAAAGACAAGTATGTGCCAAATAAGGCATGAACCTTCCTGCGATAGGTTCATGCCTTACTTTCTTCCAAATTATTATAACTTTGAAATTACTAGGCTTTCAGGCAGAGATATAGGAAAAGGAATAACAATTCTTTACTAATAGATAAATACATAACAAGACAAGCAAACAAAACCAGCAGCAATATTAAAACCAGAATCGCAGTAGCAGCCCTCACTCAGTGGTCAAGGACCTCCCCATGGGTGCAGTTCCGGGCTCGGCCAGCAGCGGCGCTGGTG